AAACAGAAATATACTTCAGACTTCAGTTTTATTCTTAGTCTGATAAAATGAATAATACAAATGAATAAAAAGTCCAGAATTTCATTCTGCATGTACATACTCGCTCAGAAACTATCACAGTGCATTCAATAATAAAGACAATATTATGCTTCTTTTATATAGTAATAGAAAAGGCAGTAGCACACAAAAAGCTCCAATTCCACATGCTGATACTACACTGAAAAGAACTGGTGCTTTGATTTACATTATTACATTATTACAGTTTTCAAATATGTGGTTGTACATTAATAATATGTGTTATAGCCACACAATTCCTGCCAAATAAAAGCAAACTGAAACACAGCAATTGTGCTGATGCACAACATTTACTGGCACAAAGGTACAAAGTCGAACTCTTTGAATAGAGCATGAATGAGACATTAGGTAAGATACAATTAATGTAGGCTAATGGTTAAAGTATAATATTAGATTAATGTAATGTATAAATTTGTGTGAACAGCAATATAAAGGATCCATTAAAGACATAGGGATCCAGGTTGTATTTGGCTCCCCTGCTCTACAGGCCCCAGCACAACTGTCCTGCCTGCAATGCTGTTTCTTATACACTGGACATATATGTCAAAAAGTTTGTAGCCTCCTGCTCATGTTTCTTCAGAAACCAATGCAGCATAAAATAGGGAGTTTTCTAAAATAGGGAGTTTGACGCCCTTTGCTGCAGTAACAGCATCTACTTTTCTGGGAAGTTTTTACACTAGATGTTAGAACATTGTTGTAAGGATCTGACAGCATTCAGCCACAAAAGGATTAATGAGGTCATGTACTGATGTTGGATGATTAGCTCTGGATAACAAATTGCACTTCAACTTACCCCAAAGACTGGATATTTGTTGTATCTAACATACTGTACACATGGAATACAATCAGTACTTCACCAGATCTTTTCTGAAAGACTTTTAAAGAGGAATTCTGATTTTTTGCATGACTTTTTGCATAATTTATGCAAATTTCACTCACCGAGATGTAAATAATATTCTGCGAGGGAGCTTTTAGAGGCATTACACACTTCAGACATCTGGTTCCTACCACCACCACTGTGAACAATTCTTACTCTGTAAGTTTCAGTAGAACTTAACATTTCACATCAAACTACTCAGAATGGCTTTGTTTACATATTACTTATTTAATTATGCAGAAATGTTGAGAAATCAGTGGAATTCCCCTTTAACTTTGGTCACTGGTTTATCTCTTGCATCTTCTGTTTAATCTGTGTGACTCTTTTTAATCTTGTTTGTAAACTACATTTATCACTATTCCACTATATCCGGCGCAACCCAGAGGAGGATGGTTTCTCCTTTTGAGTCTTGGCTCCTTTGAATAAATTATTGTTCCATATGACCTGGAAAAGTGGTACACTGAGTTTACTTGATTCACTGACAAGTAGAAGAACATCGAAAGGCTATAGCCTACATACAATACTTGCACCGTATAAAAGTTGCAGATTTCATAAGTAAAACTGGGAAAAGAAGTATGTTGTGTTACCATATTCACAAAATGTCCAATATATGACAATAGTAAAATACAAAAACAACATTATTAAAAGGAATCATATATCTGGAAGCTTTATAGTGTAGATAACCACATAAAGTTAATACACATAAAAGGTAATGAAGTTGCTGTACACTTTTTTGTCACAGCTCAGTGTGCGCATGGCGCTGCAGCAAGTTCAGGAAATGATTTTAATGTTTATTCTGATTATTTGTTCTGCAGCAATTATTCTCTGAGTTTATTTTTACAAGGACTCTGATTGTGACACCTTCTTTGGGTGTTGATGCTTAGCTCAGTAAAAGAGCGAGGAGTCTATCGCTGCCAGCCTACCAGTGAAACGTAACTCAGGATTAGAGCGCTTTGTGAGCACTACCCTTCCATGTGTGAGGCAAGGCTGGAGCCAGATAGCCTTTAATAAATTCTACAGTTTGTGGAAAAGCTGTGTGTCTCCTTCCATAGTGACAGAATGCTACAGTATGTTTGTCATACTTAAACCATCACCCTCTGTTTTAGCTTGTAATGACAATGTAATATTATTGGTGTGGGAGATTTAATGTGCAACCCCATTTCCAAAAAAGTTGGGACGCTGTGCAGAATGTAAATAAAAATAGCATGCAATGATATGCAAATCATGTAAACCATATTTTTAAAGGAATGTACTACAAAAACAACATTTCAAATGTTGAAACTGAGAAATTTGATTGTTTTTTGAAAAATATATGCCCATTTTGAATTTGATGCTAACAACACGTTCCTAAAAAGTTGGGACAGGGGCATGTTTACCACTGTGTTTCATCACCTCTTCTTTTAACAACACTCTGTAAGCGTTTGGGAATGAGGAGACCAATTGCTGTAGTTTTAAAAGTGAAATGTTTCCCCAGTCTTGTTTGACATAGGATTTCAGCTGCCCAACAGTTCTAGGTCTCATTTGTAGTATTTTTCTTTTCATGACCCGCCAAATATTTTCAATGGGTGACAGGTCTGGACCAGCAGGCCAGTTTAACTCCTGTACTCTTTTAATATGGAGCTGTGCTGTTACAATACATGCAAAATGTGATCGGCATTGTCTTGCTGAAATAAACAAGGCCTTTCCTGAAAAAGACATCATCTGGATGGCAGCATATGTTGCTAAAATATGTATATATCGTTCAGCAATAATGGTGCCTTCACAAATGTTCAGGTCACCCATACCATGTGCACAAATGCACACCTATACCATTATGAATACTGGCTTTTGAACTATGCACTGATAACAAGCTGAGTGGTCTTTAGCCCGGAGGACGCAGTGCCCATAATTTCCAAAAAGAATTTCAAATGTTGATTCATCAGACCACAGGACACTTTTCCACTTCACCTCAGTCCATTCTAAATGAGCTCGGGCCCAGAGAAGGTGGCAGCATTTCTGGATCCTGTTTATGTACAGTTTCTTCTTTGCATTTTAGTGTTTTAACTTGCATTTATGGATGCAGTGATGAACTGTGTTCACAAACAGTGGTTTTCATAAGTGTTCAAGAGCCCATGAAGTGATTTCCACTACAGAATCATGTCTGGTTTTAATGCAGTGCTGCCTGAAGGCCCAAAGATTATGATCAGCCAGTACTGGTTTTTGGCCTTGTCCATTGCATACAGAGATTTCTCCAGATTTTCTAAATCTTTAAATAATATTATGTACCACAGATGATGAAAATGCAAAAGTTATTTGCTATTTTACATTGAGAAACGTTATTCTTAAATTGTTGCACTATTTGCCTGTGCAATCTTTCACAGAGTGGTGAACTCCTACCCATCTTTACTTCTGAAAGACTCAGCCTCTCTGGGATGCTGTTTTTATACACAATCATGTTACTGACTTGTTGCCAATGAACCACCAGGTGTTTTTTTTTTCTGCATTACACAACTTTACCAGCCTTTTGTTGCCACCATCCCGTCTTTTTTGGAATGTGTTGTTGGCATCAAATTTAAAATGGGCATATATTTTTCAATACACAATAAAAGTTCTCGGTTTCAATATTTGATATGTTGTCTTTGTACTGTTTTCAATGAAATATAGGGTTTAAATGATTTGCACATCACTGCATTTTGTTTTTATTTACATTTTGCACAGCGTCCCAACTTTTTAGGAAATAGGATTGTAAAATATTATCAATAATATATCTATATTATATTATATTATATTTTTTTATCCTGTTACCCCACAAAAATATTCTGAATGATCTCACCCTTTGAATTTGCACCAGTGGATCTAGGGCTGTTGCGATCTGGCGATTAACTGCCATATAAATAATCATGATCAATGATGCAATTGTCTTTTCTTTTATCTTATTTGCTAGCTGTCTTTACTTAGTAGCTATGCTAACACTGGTTGCACTTTGCAATCAACACTGACAAACTAATGTCTACAGTTACACAGAATTATGTGTAGAGTTAAGCAAAGCTAACATGTCCTTCACAAGAGGAAAAGTATAATGAAAACACACTTATTCTGCCAGCATACATAATATAAACATTAGAATTATCTAAATAGCTTACAAATATTTTTATAAACCCCATAATGTCTTTCTCTTATTTTCATTTATTTGCCTCAACCCCACGCTCCCTTTTATTTTGTTGTGAAATCTAACAACTGTGGAAAATGCAGTCCTCTTAAATAATTGCGATCATCTCAAATATTTGCAATTAGCCGATTATGTAATAACTGCAGCAGGCCTAAGTGGATCTTAAAATTTTTACCAAAACTAAATACAGTGAAAATTGTGCTGATGCAGTATATTTTACTCTTGTTCTAACAAGGTACTCGTTTGTATTAAATAAATTGAATGCATCACTTTTTCCAGTGTACTAGTACACCTAATGAAGACTGACATCTCTGCCTACTTTGTGGGGACCCTCTGTCTCCAAACTGCTCTAATCAAGCTCCTTCACCTCATAATGCAGGTATTGAAATGGACAGGTCTGGCCTGTGGAGACTTGCAACTAGAGAAACACACACTCTAATACACACACAAACACTCTGCACTAGTCTAACCCAGTAAAACTTCTCACAGACGTTGCCAACATATTTCAGAGAAGTGAGTGAGCATCTGGCTCTGCATGCAGCGTATGCATTAGAGAATTCACTGTGCAATTCCTGCCAGCCTTGGAAGGCCTTTGAGACTTTGAGCCAGAGATTCCTAGGAGGAAAGTGAACGCAGTTATTTGCATCCATATGTCTAATGATGACAGTGTGCCTTCAAGAATGCCCCCAGCTCTCTTACTTCACATCATACTCATTAAGATGGGCAGGTCTAACCCTGGGAGCCCCGTTTTGCAACCCTGCACTTGGAGATGGGGGGGCGAGCATGACCACCCCTGACCACCTGCTGAGCTGTGGCCACAGAGGAGCCTCAGGTTTGTGCGTAAAAGAGGAGGAGAGTCAGACTGTGACTCAGTGTGGTGTCACCGTGCAGGAGGAGCCACGTTTTCCCAGACATCAGCACTATAATAGCCCCAGCAGAGCGCACTACACCATTACACTGCCTCTCTATAAGCACCAAGCCTGTGGACACAGCCTCTTGAGGACCAAATGAACAGGGATTCAGTGCTTTACAGTTCAGGATCCAAGAACGTGTGTATAAGGTAAGGGACTCGATTTTCTCCACACATTTCTTGTCCATCTTGTTATTTAGAGAGAGATTAGCAGCTAAAGAGGTTTGTAACTGTTTTGTGTGCACCGAGGAATCTTCCAGTAAACTATAGATGGTCTGAGAGACGGTGGAGAACAGCACAGGCTCACTCACCTGTGGCTTTTAGTTTCAGATGTATGGCATATTAGATACTGGATATTGGCATATAGCTTCAAATATATCTTATATTAGGTATTAAAGACGCGTCTTATCTGGAACCAGTCTTTTACATGGACTGTTGTGTTTTTAATCACCGCCTGTCTGACTGACTTTAGCCTACCTGCAGATAACACAGTAACGTTTCGTTCGTACGTTAAAGGTTCTGCTTACGCCACACCGACTTTTACTACATTTAACTTTTAACAATTAGGGTGTTTCTCGGTTCCGTTCATTTCGTATTCACCTCATTGTCTTTAACTCGTAGTTTAAGGCGTTATTTGGTAGTAAGTCACTGTTTCGAGGTCAAAACGCTTAATTAGTGCTGCGCTCTGTGGTAAATGCTCGTTGTAATTCGAATTACTGAGGTAACCCAACACTCTTACACACAGACACGCTCTCTAGATACAGTGATGTTTAAACTCGTCACTGGTGAAGTAATGAGATATTTCTCGATTAAAATCCAGCCTGTGTGTCTGTTTCAGTCAGTACACATCCTCCCATTAACACCACGTTCCGTTACTGATGTCCAAGCAGAGTGAAGCAAACAAATTCGAAGGAAAAATCGAAGAAATCTCTTTCAGCGTCTCAGTAAAGCTTCGTTTATCTCAAGGTCGCTGCAACAAAACCGCCTTTTGTACGTCAGAATCTGTTCACATGTGGCTTGAGCTCGAAGTAGTGTAAAGTGTTTGATATCTATCAGAAGACAGTCAGGTGAGGAGATAGCCCCGCTGCTTTTAACCGCTGAATGCAGCTCTAGCGCGGCGGGGTGTCTGGCGGCTCTTTATTGTCTCAATACAGAGCGCTTTGCCTGCGATTTTAATGGTCTGCAGCCGCTTGTCAGAGGGAAACTTTCAAGGTGAAGTCCAGCAGCGACTGAGCGTTTTCTCCTTTTATGAGTATGAGCCCACTCTGTGCCTCCCTTCAGAGAGGAATTTCTAACCCAGGATCAGACTAGCATCTTTCATCATCCACCCATTTTAAGCTTTAAGCATACTTTTGTGCACTCTGTGTCTGTCCAGAAAGCTAATGCAAAAAAAATACACTGTGGAATTGAGCAGTGACATGCATACTAGTGTAGACTGCAGGGGGATACAGTGTGTTAAGCTATATGTATATATTTACATATATATATACACAGACCAGCCACTTCATTACACCTTCTTTCTGCACTCATTGTCCATTTCATCAGCTCTACTTACCATATAGGTGCATATAGGTGTTATAGTTCTACAATTACAGACTGTAGTTCATCTGTTTCTGCATGCTTTGTTAAATTAGCCCCCTTCTACCCTGTTCTTCAGTGGTCAGGACCACAACAGATCAGGTATAATTTGGGTGAATTCATTCTCAGCACTGCAGTTATACTGCCGTGGTGGTGTGTTAGTGTGTGTTGTGCTGGTACGAGTGGATCAAACACAGCAGTGCTGCTGGAGTTTTTAAACAACGCAGTGTCACTGCTGGACTGAGAATAGTCCACCAACTGAAAATATCCAGCCAACAGCGTCCTGTGACCACTGATGAAGGCCTAGGGATGACTTACATAAACTGTGTAGCAACAGATGAACTACTGTCTCTGACTTCACATCTACAAGGTGGACCAACAAGGTGGGTGTGTCTAATAGAGTGGACAGTGAGTGGACACAGTGTTTAAAAACTCCAGCAGCACTGCTGTGTCTGACCCACTTGTACCAGCAACACACGCTAACGTAACACCACTATGTCGATGTCACTGCAGGGCTGAGAATGACTCAAAATGCAAATAATACTAGCGCTGTGGTGGTCCTGTGGGGGTCCTGGCCATTGCAGAACAGGGTAAAAGAGGCTAACAAAGTAACAAAGTCTGCAGAGAAACAAATGGACTACAGTCTGTAATTGACTACAAAGTGCACCAATATGGTTAATGTATATATATATATATATATATATATATATATATATATACCTTGGTTTTCTTGTTTCTGGTCATAGACTCTTTCTCTCTCTCTTCTCTCTCTCTCACACACATACACACACCGTTAGTGCTGGGTAGAGGGGGATAAATGCATCATTAGGATCACAGAGCATATCCCCTTTTCCGGTGCTTGCAGGGGGAATTATCCAGAGAGCTTTCAATGTGAAAATGCCCCTCTGCCTGTCTGTCTTCCAGCCTTCTGTTCGATCTGCCAAAGTCTCAGAGCCCAGTAAAACCACATGCTGCATTTTCATTGTTTCTCCTTATCGTTTCACCCAGGTATGGTCAGTTTGCAGTTTGCTTCCTCGCTTTTCATTAAAGCAATGAAATCCATTCTTCATTTACTATTGATGTCAAAGCGTACTGTTACCATGCGTTCCACAGTGTGTTTAAAAGACACAGAGGGCTGCAGCGCTGGTCGCTGTGCGTCGCTGACGGAATGCGATAAGCCTTCAGCGCAGAGAGCCAATTATGATTTCATCTCTGTCAGAGTGACGGCGGACCCTGCACACCAGCTTTAGAGGCTTTAACATGATCTGTAGGAGACACCTGCATACCCCTGAATCCCTCCCTTCTGCACTGAGAAAAATGATGCATGGAATCTGTTTGATTCATGTGTGCAATGCATCATTTCCACATGAATAAAATATGTTACTACATTAACATAGTGCTTGTTTTGACGTTAATTACCTTTATTAGTGTGGAAATGATTACACAAGACACACTTAAATCAAGCAGGGCTTGTATTAATAATTGTCTAATCTTTCAATTATTTTTCACAATTAATCACTTAATCAGTTTTTTTTAAAAAAAGGTCAAACAATAAAAATGGACATAGCTGACAAACATATTTAGCCTTTCCAAAATTCCAAAGTAATATAATTGAAAAAGAAAAAGATAATTGTACGCATAAGAAGACTTTAAAAAGACTTTATTTAAATATATAAAAACACCATGTCAAAATAATGCATACAAATTGTTTTTTTTTCACTTTTTTTGCTGTAAGAGATGCATAAGAGACTTTAAATGTGCGTTGTAATCATGCAACTTGTCAGCTAATCAATTCGATTGATCAAGAAGGAACATTTTAATCAATGTGTTTTTAATTGAATGTAATCGTGCACAGAATCAAGTGCATTGGTTTTTTTTTCACTGTGTGCTTTGAAAATAGAGAGACCCTTCAGCTCTTCCAGGAAGGGTTAGAAGCCAATCTCGGAAATGTGTTGCTCAGGATTGCCATTTTCCCTCCTTTTCCTCTGCTTGAGTGGCAGCTGGACTGCTTGAGTGAGTGTTGGCTCATTTTGTGCACAGCCGTACGGAGTCTAAGCCAGCTAACCCTGGGGTCAGTTGGTTATGGTAGTCCACTAGTCAGCACAGATCACCCGGCTGTCACTCCTGTTTACCGCTTGCTGCAGGACCCGAGCAGTGCATGTCTGCAGCTCCTGTGAGGAATGCCGCACTGCATCCTTCTCCATCATCCGTTTTGGAGTATGAGGAGACCGAGCACGTGGGCTGCTCCTGTTCCCACACTGCATTTTTTCCACTCGTCTTCCCCTTCCACAGCATCCTGTCTTCCATCTGTTTGGTAGTGTTGTGTGAAGGTGTCTTAGGTGTACTTTAGGTGTGACTCAATTGTGTTGAGCTCATTAAAGGACTACTTCAGAGTTGTTCAACTTAACCTCTATCTGCTGCATCTGTACCATGTGAAATTACCACAAACAATAATTTTGATGCATATATATATATATATATATATATATATATATATATATACAATACTATATATATATATATATATATATATACACATACATATATATATATATATATATATATATATATATATATATATTAGGGGTGGAAATCTCTAGGCACCTCACGATTCGATTACGATTTAGAGGGCTGCGATGCGATTATAAAACGATTATCGATGCATCTTGATGCATCTTTTTTTTGTATATAGCATTAATATTTAATAATAATTTAATAATACTGTGTGAGCTCAAGTTTCAAGTTCAAGTTTCAAGTTTATTTGTCATTTGCACAACATGTCAGGACATTTATGCATTGAAATGCTTGTGGTGAGGCTCAGCTAATCACTCTACAGAAAGTAAATAAGTAAAAATAAAAATACAAGAAAAATCAACTGAAATATATTAAATATACACAAAATATACACAGAATATAGAGACAATATACATTTTAGTGACTAAGTGACTCGCTGTTATTGTTATTTAAAGTGACTTGGTACTTTTAAAGCAAAGTATTTGTAATTATCCATAATGAATTTACTTCCAATATCTTTTTAAATAAAACAAATGGAAGTGATGTGGCAAGTGAACTAGAAGACTCTCATTCAGTGCTCATTTGGAGCACGAGAAGCTGCTGCTACTCATCTGCGATAAAATGCGCACTTACGGTGAAATAAGATCCAGTGGCAGTGGAAGTCCACGCAACATGTTACAGCTATTCTACCCGTTTTCTTTAGTGAGAGTAAGTCCGTGTTTTCGTTTATATTGTTTAGCCTATACTAAGACATTGTCACATACTGAGACATACTGGACATTAAATGTTGTGGCTCCCAAGGTGTTTTGATTTTTGTTGAATGACAAAATAGCTCTTCTTATCATTTGTGACTCCTGACCTAACCTGGCTTTAATGCAGAGGGAGCCGGTCGGATTTCTCGCTCATCCAGTGGTGTTTTTGTTATGTGCCGCCACAGACTGTCCGGGCGCTGCACTTGCGTTCCATCAACATTACGTTATAAATTAAATATTTAGAAAATCGATTTTTGACATTTGTGAATCGATTCAGAATCGTTCATGTCCACATCGCGATGCATC